GCGGAGGTCTCACTAGTGCACAAAAACAATGCATAGAAAGATTACAAAAACGTGCATTGAGGATTATCTTTGGAAAGGATTATCATAGTTACGCAAACGCTCTTCCAAAATCGAAATTACAAACATTGGAAAGTCGTCGAAATGTGTTACCTTCTTTAAAAAAAAACTCTTTCATGCACAGACCAGTTCAAACAAGAGCACACAATAGAACTTTGCGAAGAACTAACAAGATCCCTGAACCCAGGTGCAAAACTAAACGTATGCAGAATAGCCCAATCCCAGATTTGATCCGTTTGTATAACAACATTTTTTTATGTATGTATTTAATATACTCTGAAACAAATTACAATTTCATATTCTTAGTATATAATTAATTCATAAATTTGAGGTCTGATTTTTTTTACCAAGTTAGTCAATGTATTTTTTTATGACATGAAGAATGCGATGCATATCTATATTTATATTGTAATATCTCTAATGTTCACCTTATAATATTCATATTTGTCTTGCAATGTATCTTTGTATTTTATCAACATGTACATAATTGTTTTCCCTCTCTGTCCATCTGTCCCCTTTCTCCCCCCCTCTCTCTCTCTCTCTCTTTCTCTCTCTCTCTTTCTCTCTCTCCTGCTTTCCCATCTCTCTTTCTTTTTAACTCAAATTTTTAAATTGAAATACTGTATAAGATTAATGGTATATAGTATATACACGCTCTTCATAATTATGTAGATTGTAGTGTGACATCTTGAAATGTATACTTGCTTTTTTCCAGCAATTTACTCATGTGCAATTCAGTTACTTTTTACTGTGATATCACTTGAAATGTATAATTGTCTTCACCATCAATGTTTCATTCATGCACAATTCAGTTACTTGTAACTGCGATACATGGAAATGAACCAATAAATACCATTTATCTATCTATCTATCTAACCCTCCTGCACTTCACAACACACAAAATGCAGCAACAGTATTGAAACAACACAATAAAATACCTGTAAATATGACAGTGCTGGGTTTTTAATCAAACTTCCTTATAACCTCCTCATTCGCATAATGAATATACATGAATATGTATAAGGTTCGTAACATATATCTCCCATTTGCAGACAACATGAATTCTGTAGAACTTTGCAGGAATATGTCACATATATCCTATTTAAACGTTAGCAGTGTCCTAGTATTCAAATTATGCAAGGAAACCTGTTTACTTTCTATAGACTTCACTGTCAGACACTAGAAAAACCCTCAAATTACACAAACATTTCTATCATTAAACTAAAGACCAAATATGTTTCTTCTAAGTTCCCAATTTTAAACTCTTATTCTTTAGACATCAATATAAATGTACTTCTTAGGCTACCAAGAATGCAAGACAAACAGACAGAAACTTAGGCATGTAAACAGAAAGTAGGAGAAGAACATATGTGCACATGATTTTTGTACAGAACGATGAATATCGATAATTAAAACAGATTACGATCAACATTAGAATAAGAACATATGATGAATAAAATGCATACATAAATGTTAAACAAGCTACGAACGGATCAAAAAGCGATCAAATACTAAATATTTTTGTATGCAGCAACTCCGCGCATGCGAACAAAGATAATAACTAAATATTCATAAGAATGAATGTGTGTAAAACCTGATCACATGACGCATGACCATGAAAATCATCCCGTTATATAGCAATTTACAGGATCATTAATTAGAATTGATATTAGGATCTCCATAGGATAAATAATCATTGGATAAAAAAAAGCTATATACAGTATATCAAATTTAAGAAATATAATTTGAACAATGCAACAAGAGTCTGCACAATATCTGACTTGAGACATTACACAACTTTCAGAAGAATTAATTGATATTATATCCTTTTTCTTTCTTTTAACTGCACAAGTTACATCATATTGCTAAACACCATATATTCAAATATCACAAATCACATGGTATGTAAGCATACTTAAAGATAAACTCCAGTACTGGTAAAAAAAAAAATTAATTCTCACAGAATCAAACGAAACTTACACTGAATGTTCAAGATTACAAATAAATGACATGTGCCAAACAATTTTGGAAGAAAATGTATACTGGCTGAGTAATGAGCATAGAAAGACAAGGAAATCAAGGTAGTACTAGCCCCGACACCATGTGTGTTGTCCCATATATAGCTTTTTATGTGAGTGCTTGTTACTTTACCAAGACTCGGTCAAATTTATTATGATTTTGATGACTCCCGAACCTTGCAGTGCACACCAATACTTACATGCTACATGATCAACTGTTTCTGATCCTTTCACACCTTTTCTTTCACAATGCAATCGCATTACCAGTACTAAAGTTTATCTTTAAACTATTTCTGCGATTTGTTTTTGTCATGTCAAAAGATTCTTTTACTGTGCCCTTGTATGATTCTTTGTGTCTGTGTTTGTCAGTTGTTTCTATTATTCGTCTTGCTGCATATGTTTGTCCCGTCTTCCTTTATTTCCTTATCTCATTTCTTCTGCACCTGCATACTAAGAGCACCACCAATGGTTTATTGATTTTATACTTTATGCGCTTTTTTCTTTTCAGCTACTGCTTCTAAACCCCATATGGCTGATCTGAACGATCAGATGGCTTTTAATTCCCTCACCGATGACGATCTACTCGATTTACATAGACCCAGGCGCGGATCCAGGGGGGGGGGCCAAGCGAGCCTTGGGGCCCCCCCCCCCCGCCCCCCCCCCCCCAAAAAAGGAGAGGGAGAGAAAGGAAAAGAAGGGAAATGGAAAAAGAGAAAAGGGAAAAAAGGAGAGGAAGAAGAAAAGAAAAGAGGGAAGGAGATCGGGGGGGGGGGCAAAAGGACTTGCCTCTCAGGCTGTTGCCTCCCCCTCCCCCCCCCCAATTCAAAAAATAAAAGAGAAGGAAGGAAAGGGAAATAAAAAAGAAAAAGAGGAGATAAAGGGAAGGACAAAAGAGGAAGAAGAATAGAAAAGGGGATATCACTCTCCTTTCTTCTCTTATCCACCTCTGCTCTCTTTTTCTTTACTCTTCACATTTGCTGCAATATTTTCTATCCTTGCATTTCTCTCTTTCCTTGCTTTATTTTCTGTTATTTATGTATTTTTTAAAATGATATGTGTATGTCTTATCTGTCAGTCTTCATTGTCTCTTTTGACCTTTCCAGTGTTCACCATATACTATATATATGTGTCATAACAAGTTGTCAAATTACGGATTTATACGTGCATTATTATCCTGCCACTATTTGGTAATCTATGTATATTTTTTTGTCTTCAAGTCAATATATTTACATGTTACAAAAATTATGTATGTCAATATTGAGGGATCCACATTTTACAAGCTTTGCTTTTCAGTGCATCCCTCCATTTCCACAGGTTTAATTTACAAAATAAAAAAATAAGTATTATACTGGATATTTATGTTTACCCTACTTTCTATTTCATAAGTAACTTTAAACCATGTAAAAGGTATTATATCCTTGAATATTGAATTGTATATCTGATTTCTTGTCAAAATCACTGTTCTGTTGGAAATGAAAAAACAAAATTGAAAAACTGAAACTGAATGATCGTACAAATCAAACACTTTGACAATGATAAACATTATATATATATATATATATATATATATATATAAGAAAAAATTATGGTAAGGTACTTCACAGGCACAACATTTTAGAAACACTGGTTTATCAACACAACTTTTTTGAAAGCATTTTCAACAGGCTACTAAACATTATAATCCTACCATAAAAAACACGGCATTTTCAACGTTCTAGCCAAGATGGCCAACAGGTCTCAAAGATATCAATATATGATTTAATGCATTTTAGGATCGTGCAAATAGCAAATAGCGCAAACTCGGAACTTAAAATAAAAAAGAATTGAGCACAGCAAAACATACAGACGTATTTTTGCCACAAAAAATGTATTATTGTCTTGGAACCAATTTGGGTATTAAACTGGAAATGTTCTTATTGGTTCCAGTTGCACTTCTAACTAGAATTTAACGGCCTTCTAACCGGAACCAATTGGGTAACTGGAAATAATCTTACTGGTTCCAGTTGCACTTCTAACTGGAACTAGTTGGGTAAATGGAATAAATTGAGTAACTGGAAAAATTATCTTACTGGTTCCAGTTGCACTTCTAACTAGAACCAGTTAAATGCAAGATTCATCTGGATCCAGTTGCAATCTCCAATTGGTTTGAACTGGAATTGACACATCTTCCCAACTTTTTCCGGTTAAGGCCATTGATTTCAACTGGAAAATTTGTATTCCTATTGAAACCAATTCCATATCTTTAAACTATCATTGATATCTGATAATTAAACAGTTATTGAAATAAACCTACCAAACTACATACTACAATGAAATACTTGACTTAAGGTAGGGGAGTTTGTTGTGGTGCACAATTGCACCCTTCTGTAAATAATCGAATAGTTCATGCGCATGAATATTCATGTTTTTGCTTACCTCGGCAAAATGTTTGCTTTTACTAAATGGAAAAATTACGGTGGGGGGGGGGGAAGGATTAAATGGACATAATGAACCAAGCAGAAGTGATCTATGATAATTCATGCTTCTTATCCTTTGTGCGCTTGACCTATAATCTTACAATCGCTTGGCAGACTGAGTCCAAAGTTCGACTTGTTTCACATGTGTATTATAAGCAATGACGAGCTTGCAACCTATTTTGATAAAATTACGGTGGGTGAACTTTCAAAAGTCAATGAGACATTAAGGTTCCAATTAAAGAGCTAGTGATAACGGACGTCGGGTGGATGTGCATTTCGTTTAAACAAAAAAAAAATATGAATTTTTAACGATTATTTTTGTAAACGTCGATAGGCTAACATGTTAGGCTGCTGACTCTATCGATAGGGGGAGTTCTCAAATGAGACTAAACGGAGCTATAATTATGATAGCCTTTTCTATGAATATCCATGATAAAGACTATGCGGCAACGGTGTGGCAAAACTAATTTTACACTTCATGACTGGGGGAGTATATGCAAACAGGGCCGATCTCTCCATGCGACCAGTCAGCTCCGGCTGAAGTAGCAATACATTCAACTTCAAACTTCGCACTGCCATTGTAATTATAGTTATTTATGCAGTGGTAAAAGTATTTATCCCCAATGGATGCTTCAGTGATGTCAACAGGCCTTGTCTTTGTACCATTTTTAGGTTTGCCACATTTGCCCTCTGTGGAGAACAATGATAAGAGAATATTATTTATTAGTACCTGTTTGTTGCTATATCTATTATTATATCTTGTTGTTGAATTTATTTTCAATAAGCGTAGTGAAACGTCAAAACAAAACTTTTGATCAGCCTTTTCTATATACCTTTTATCCAACATGGCCGACAGGAGCCAAAGATATCAATGAATAATTTGATCAGAGGCTACGGATGCAACTTTGCTATATATATATTCGGGGTCGAGAGATCAGCTCATAATGAGGTTAATTGTGTTTTTGTTGTTTTTTTTTAAATATAATTTGGCGGGTCCTCTTTTGGGGGTATAATGCTGGGGCATTGACAAGGGAATCACCATGTACTAATATTTTTCTTGTATATAGGAAGAGTAATTTCCATGATTCATCCATACCATCCAAAAGGAATAGTTATAACATATCTGAGCAATTATTAGTGACCGGCTAGCACCAATTCCCTCAGCGTTTAGTTCATGTGGGTGGCAGTATGATTTAAAAGAAATTTCTATGACTAATTCAAACCATCCAAAAGGCATAGATATATCATACCTGAGCAAGAAGATGGCGTTAGAGACCAGCTAGCAATAGTTCCCTCATCGTTCAGTTGACAAACTACCGTCAGGTTATTAGGGTCTGATGTGAAGCCATGATTGCAGGTGTAATTGTATGCTTCCCCAGCTTGTCCTTCAGTGATTGAAACAGACTCTGTGTTTGTACCATTTCCAGGTGAGCCACATTTGACCTCTGATTCAGGTGGAGAATGAAAAGAAATTATTAATTTATTTGTTGTATGATTTCATTCTTGTAATTCTACCTTGCGGTTTGTATTTATTATCAATTATCGCGAGTTAAAAAATAGAATTACTGGTTTATATTCAGAGTTTCTTTTTGTTTGTTGCCTTTTACCGTGGTAGTAGGGGACTAAAAGTCATTACCTTTGGTTAAAAAAACACGTCATTTTTTTATGTTTTATGCAAGTTGGCTGAAGGGCCCAAAGATATAAATACACAATTTGATGCATATGCTACGGATATAACTTTGCTATGTATATTCGAGGTCGACAGATCAGCACAGATGAATTTTATTGTTTTCGGTGTCATCCCAGCTCATAACTCGATTCTGAAGGTTCATGGTTTTGTGTATTAAATTACGTTTCGTATCTTATTTTAGTCTATTACATTTGTTTAAGGCATGGTTTGTCAGTATTCACAATGTTAAAACTAAGCAATGAGGTAGTACTGAAGACCAGCTAGCAACAGTTCCCTTAGCGTTCATTTCATGTGGGTGGAAGTGCAATGTAAAAGTTATTTCCATGCTTAATTCAACCGTCCAAAAGGCATAGATATATCATACCTGAGCAAGAAGATGGCGTTGGAGACCAGCTAGCAATAGTTCCCTCATCGTTCAGTTGACAAACTACCGTCAGGTTATTAGGGTCTGATGTGAAGCCATGATTGCAGGTGTAATTGTATGCTTCCCCAGGTTGTCCTTCAGTGATTGAAACAGACTCTGTGTTTGTACCATCTCCAGGTGAGCCACATGTGACCTCTGATTCAGGTGGAGAATGAAAAGAAATTATTAATTTATTTGTTGTATGATTTCATTCTTGTAATTCTACCTTGCGGTTTGTATTTATTATCAATTATCGCGAGTTAAAAAATAGAATTACTGGTTTATATTCAGAGTTTCTTTTTGTTTGTTGCCTTTTACCGTGGTAGTAGGGGACTAAAAGTCATTACCTTTGGTTAAAAAAACACGTCATTTTTTTATGTTTTATGCAAGTTGGCTGAAGGGCCCAAAGATATAAATACACAATTTGATGCATATGCTACGGATATAACTTTGCTATGTATATTCGAGGTCGACAGATCAGCACAGATGAATTTTATTGTTTTCGGTGTCATCTCAGCTCATAACTCGATTCTGAAGGTTCATGGTTTTGTGTATTAAATTACGTTTCGTATCTTATTTTAGTCTATTACATTAATTGTTTAAGGCATGGTTTGTCAGTATTCACAATGTTAAAACTAAGCAATGAGGTAGTACTGAAGACCAGCTAGCAACAGTTCCCTTAGCGTTCATTTCATGTGGGTGGAAGTGCAATGTAAAAGTTATTTCCATGCTTAATTCAAACCATCCAAAAGGCATAGATATATCATACCTGAGCAAGAAGATGGCGTTGGAGACCAGCTAGCAATAGTTCCCTCATCGTTCAGTTGACAAACTACCGTCAGGTTATTAGGGTCTGATGTGAAGCCATGATTGCAGGTGTAATTGTATGCTTCCCCAGGTTGTCCTTCAGTGATTGAAACAGACTCTGTGTTTGTACCATCTCCAGGTGAGCCACATGTGACCTCTGATTCAGGTGGAGAATGAAAAGAAATTATTAATTTATTTGTTGTATGATTTCATTCTTGTAATTCTACCTTGCGGTTTGTATTTATTATCAATTATCGCGAGTTAAAAAATAGAATTACTGGTTTATATTCAGAGTTTCTTTTTGTTTGTTGCCTTTTACCGTGGTAGTAGGGGACTAAAAGTCATTACCTTTGGTTAAAAAAACACGTCATTTTTTTATGTTTTATGCAAGTTGGCTAAAGGGCCCAAAGATATAAATACACAATTTGATGCATATATGCTACGGATATAACTTTGCTATGTATATTCGAGGTCGACAGATCAGCACAGATGAATTTTATTGTTTTCGGTGTCATCCCAGCTCATAACTCGATTCTGAAGGTTCATGGTTTTGTGTATTAAATTACGTTTCGTATCTTATTTTAGTCTATTACATTTGTTTAAGGCATGGTTTGTTAGTATTCACAATGTTAAAACTAAGCAATGAGGTAGTACTGAAGACCAGCCAGGAGCCAAAGATATCAATGAATAATTTGATCAGAGGCTACGGATGCAACTTTGCTATATATATATATTCGGGGTCGAGAGATCAGCTCATATGAGGATAATTGCGTTTTTGTTTTTTTGTTTTTTTAATAATTTGGCGGGTCTTCTTTTGGGGTATAATGCTGGGGCATTGACAAGGGAATCACCATGTACTAATATTTTTCTTGTATATAGGAAGAGTAATTTCCATGATTCATCCATACCATCCAAAAGGAATAGTTATAACATATCTGAGCAATTATTAGTGACCGGCTAGCAACAGTTCCCTTAGCGTTCATTTCATGTGGGTGGAAGTGCAATGTAAAAGTTATTTCCATGCTTAAAGGTAATACAAAGTTTTGGTAAGGGGTCATGAATTTGGTTCAAATGCACATTATCGGAAACATATGCGATCCTACAATATTCAGTGATCGTTGTCGCGGTTGAAATCGAGCCTAAAGTTATGAAATTATAAATAATAAACTCTTTATGATGTATAGCTCCCTCTCAAGGTCAATATATTAATTAAGATATAAACAATGTTTGTTGACTAAAATCGACCGATTAGCTAATCTCTTTTGGAAATTATATATCACAACTGCATATTCTGAGATTTTCATGGTCGCAGCTACCATTGTACGGCCGTAGGCGCTATTTGAAATTTATCAAAAATTTACCGGGAGCACCGGTAAATTTTTATATTAAATTTTTCTAGAAAACAGCAGTGCTTTGGGGGCTAATTTTTCTAGTGCTTTTAATACATCTACAGGGGCATCTAAATATATCAACATTGTAAAGAATCACTATCTACCCAATTTTCAAAATTTCCCAAAACTTTGTATTACCTTTAATTCAACCATCCAAAAGGCATAGATATATCATACCTGAGCAAGAAGATGGCGTTGGAGACCAGCTAGCAATAGTTCCCTCATCGTTCAGTTGACAAACTACCGTCAGGTTATTAGGGTCTGATGTGAAACCATGATTGCAGGTGTAATTGTATGCTTCCCCAGGTTGTCCTTCAGTGATTGAAACAGACTCTGTGTTTGTACCATCTCCAGGTGAGCCACATGTGACCTCTGATTCAGGTGAAGAATGAAAATAAATTTTTACTTTATTTGTTGAAGATTTTATTCTTGTGATTCTACCGGTTTGTATTTATATCAATCATCCAAAGTTAAAAAATAAAAACACTGGTATACTAAAATTCTTTACCTTTGGTTAAAAAAACACGTCATTTTCTATGTTTTATGCAAGTTGGCAGAAGGGTCCAAAGATATAAATACACAATTTGACGCATATGCTACAAATGTATAGGGGTTCTCAGATCAGCACAGATGAATTTTATTGTTTTCGGTGTCATCCCAGCTCATAAATAAAATTCATGGGGTTCATGATTTTGTGTATTAAATTACGTTTCGTACTTTATTTTAGTCTATTACATTTGTTTATTGGAGAAAATGCATGTTTTGTCAGTATTCACAATGTTAAAACTGAGCAAGAAGATGGTGTTATAGACCAGCTAGCAACAGTTCCCTCAGCGTTTAGTTCATGTCGGTGGCAGTATGATTTAAAAAGAAATTCTACGATTAATTCAAACCATCCAAAAGGCATAGATAAATTGTACCTGAGCAAGAAGATGGCGTTAGAGACCAGCTAGCAATAGTTCCCTCATCGTTTAGTTCACAGACTACCGTCAGGTCATTAGGGTCTGATGTGAAGCCATGATTGCAGGTGTAAGTGTATGCTTCCCCAGCTTGTCCTTCAGTGATTGAAACAGACTCTGTGTTTGTACCATCTCCAGGTGAGCCACATTTGACCTCTGATTCAGGTGAAAAATGAAAAGAAATTATTACTTTATTTGTTGATGATTACATTCTTGTAATTCTACCTTGCGGTTTGTATTTATTATCAGTTATCGCGAGTTAAAAAATAGAATTACTGGTTTATATTCAGAGTTTCTTTTTGTTTGTTGCCTTTTACCGTGGTAGTAGGGGACTAAAAGTCATTACCTTTGGTTAAAAAAACACGTCATTTTTTTATGTTTTATGCAAGTTGGCTGAAGGGCCCAAAGATATAAATACACAATTTGATGCATATGCTACGGATATAACTTTGCTATGTATATTCGAGGTCGACAGATCAGCACAGATGAATTTTATTGTTTTCGGTGTCATCCCAGCTCATAACTCGATTCTGAAGGTTCATGGTTTTGTGTATTAAATTACGTTTCGTATCTTATTTTAGTCTATTACATTTGTTTAAGGCATGGTTTGCCAGTATTCACAATGTTAAAACTAAGCAATGAGGTAGTACTGAAGACCAGCTAGCAACAGTTCCCTTAGCGTTCATTTCATGTGGGTGGAAGTGCAATGTAAAAGTTATTTCCATACCTAATTCAACCATCAAAAGGCATAGATATATCATACCTGAGCAAGAGGATGGCGTTGGAGACCAGCTAGCAATAGTTCCCTCATCGTTCAGTTCACAAACTACCGTCAGGTCATTAGGGTCTGCTATGAAGCCATGATTGCAGATGTATTTGTATGCTTCCCCAGGTTGTCCTTCAGTGATTAAAACAGACTCTGTGTTTGTACCATCTCCAGGTGAGCCACATTTGACCTCTGATTCAGGTGAAGAATGAAAAGAAATTTTTACTTTATTTGTTGATGATTTTATTCTTGTGATTCTACCGGTTTGTATTTATATCAATCATCCAAAGTTAAAAAATAAAAACACTGGTATACTAAAATTCTTTACCTTTGGTTAAAAAAACACGTCATTTTCTATGTTTTATGCAAGTTGGCAGAAGGGTCCAAAGATATAAATACACAATTTGATGCATATGCTACAAATGTATAGGGGTTGTCAGATCAGCACAGATGAATTTAATTGTTTTCGGTGTCATCCCAGCTCATAAATAAAATTCATGGGGTTCATGATTTTGTGTATTAAATTACGTTTCGTACTTTATTTTAGTCTATTACATTTGTTTATTGGAGAAAATGCATGTTTTGTCAGTATTCACAATGTTAAAACTGAGAAAGAAGATGGTGTTATAGACCAGCTAGCAACAGTTCCCTCAGCGTTTAGTTCATGTCGGTGGCAATATGATTAAAAAAAAAATTCTACGATTAATTCAAACCATCCAAAAGGCATAGATATATCATACCTGAGCATGAAGATGGCGTTAGAGACCAGCTAGCAATAGTTCCCTCATCGTTTAGTTCACAGACTACCGTCAGGTCATTAGGGTCTGATGTGAAGCCATGACTGCAGGTGTAAGTGTATGCTTCCCCAGGTTGTCCTTCAGTGATTGAAACAGACTCTGTGTTTGTACCATCTCCAGGTGAGCCACATTTGACCTCTGATTGACGTGAATAATGAAAAGAAATTATTACTTTATTTGTTGATGATTTTATTCATGTAATTCTACCGGTTTGTATTTATATCAATCATCCAAAGTTAAAAAAAAGCACCCTGGTATACTAAAATTCTTTACCTTTGGTTAAAAAAACACGTCATTTTTTTATGTTTTATGCAAGTTGGCTGAAGGGCCCAAAGATATAAATACACAATTTGATGCATATGCTACGGATGCAACTTTGCTATGTATAGAGGTTGTCAGATCAGCACAGATGAATTTAATTGTTTCGGTGTCATCCCAGCTCATAACTAAATTCTAAGGGTTCATGATTTTGTGTATTAAGTTACGTTTCATACTTTATTTTAGTCTATTACATTTGTTTATTGGAGAAAAGGCATGGTTTGTCAGTATTCACAATGCTAAAACTGAAAAAGAACATGGCGTTATAGACCAGCTAGCAACAGTTCCCTCAGCGTTTAGTTCATGTCAGTGGCAGTACGATTTAAAAGAATCTCTACGATTAATTCAAACCATCCAAAAGGCATAGATAAATTGTACCTGAGCAAGAAGATGGCGTTAGAGACCAGCTAGCAATAGTTCCCTCATCGTTTAGTTCACAGACTACCGTCAGGTCATTAGGGTCTGATGTGAAGCCATGATTGCAGGTGTAAGTGTATGCTTCCCCAGCTTGTCCTTCAGTGATTGAAACAGACTCTGTGTTTGTACCATCTCCAGGTGAGCCACATGTGACCTCTGATTCAGGTGAAAAATGAAAAGAAATTATTACTTTATTCGTTGATGATTTTATTCTTGTAATTCTACCGGTTTGTATTTATTATCAATTATCCAAAGGTTAAAAAAATAAAAACACTGGTATACTAAAATTCTTTACCTTTGTTTAAAAAAAAATGTCATTTTCTATCTTTTATGCAAGTTGGCCGAAGGGCCCAAAGATATAAATACACAATTTGATGCATATGCTACGGATGCAACTTTGGTATGTATAGAGGTTGTCAGATCAGCACAGATGAATTTAATTGTTTCGGTGTCATCCCAGCTCATAACTAAATTCTAAGGGTTCATGATTTTGTGTATTAAGTTACGTTTCATACTTTATTTTAGTCTATTACATTTGTTTATTGGAGAAAAGGCATGGTTTGTCAGTATTCACAATGCTAAAACTGAAAAAGAACATGGCGTTATAGACCAGCTAGCAACAGTTCCCTCAGCGTTTAGTTCATGTCAGTGGCAGTACGATTTAAAAGAAATTCTACGATTAATTCAAACCATCCAAAAGGCATAGATATATCATACCTGAGCAAGAAGATGGCGTTAGAGACCAGCTAGCAATAGTTCCCTCATCGTTTAGTTCACAGACTACCGTCAGGTCATTAGGGTCTGATGTGAAGCCATGATTGCAGGTGTAAGTGTATGCTTCCCCAGCTTGTCCTTCAGTGATTGAAACAGACTCTGTGTTTGTACCATCTCCAGGTGAGCCACATTTGACCTCTGATTCAGGTGAAAAATGAAAAGAAATTATTACTTTATTTGTTGATGATTACATTCTTGTAATTCTACCTTGCGGTTCGTATTTATTATCAGTTAAAAAAATAGAATTACTGGTTATTCAGAGTTTCTTTTTGTTTGTTGCCTTTTACCGTGGTAATAGGCTACTAAAATTCTAAACCTTTGGTTTTAAAAAAACACACTCAATTTAATACGTTTCATCCTAGATGGCTGACGGGCCCAAAGATATAAATAGATAACTCAATGCATATATGCTATGGATGCAACTTTGTTATAATAAAAATAATATACTAGTTTTTATATAGCGCTTATTACACTGAGCGCTCTCAAACTTGGAGATTATTACCCCGACTCTGTGCTGCCATTACGGCGCTCTAGAATTTCAAAGAGTTAGTTCTTGCCAGGTACCCATTCACATCACCTGGGTAGAGTGTGGCAAATGTAGATCAATGTCTTGCCAAAGGCGGCGGGTCTCGAACCGCGGACCTTATGGTCGACAGTCCGGCGACTTAATCACTCGACTACGGCACCTATGCATGACAGATCCAGTGGCGGATCCAGGATTTGCCGATAGGGGGGGGGGGGGGGGGCCTAAAATTTAAAAATCGCGCTGAACAAAATTCTGCTCAGTGGGGGGGGGGGGGGGGGGTAAGAGCATTTTGTTTCTTCCTCAATTTTGCTCTCGGGAATTCAAAAATTGAGCAGATCATTTTTTGCTCAGTGGGAGGGGGGGGGGGGGAGTGTGAGCACTTACTAGACTCGATTTCAACCGAGACAACGATCATTGAATATTGTAAAATCGCATATGCTCCCAATATATTCATTTGAACCAAATACATGACCCCCATACCAAAACTTTGTAAATACGTTTAAGGAAAATAAAAAATCCAAGATTGTGTCCGAAATGACTACAGTATCCTAAAAATGACCCGGGAGTGAGTTAATTATTTGAGTTATTTTTTTTTTTTTACCGTAAAGCTATAATTAGAAAGATATAAAATATGTTTTAAAGGTCAGGATGTTCACTAAAATGCTTTAAATTAAAATGATACAAAAGATGATCGCCATCTTGTATTGCAAGATGGAAGCCAAAAACTTAAATCAGTCTCAACTCGTGATATATCCTTCTTCTGCAATTTTGGTATCTTTGCCTAGGTTTTGGATTGCGACAAAACCATTAAGACTGTTTAAAATGTGTTATGGTTTTCAGAAAACCTTGAAATCCAAGAAAGCATCCATGACAGCCGGTATCGCAACATTATCAGATTTCGGTTACTATTTACAATATAGAGTTTGTGTAAACCAGGTCCATTTTAAGGGTAAGAATATTCATTCAAAAATAGTATCAACTATAATTGCAACTTTTGTGGAACATTGTATACAAGATGGCTACCATTGAATCATTAAAAATGGCTGCAAACGCCATAAATCATTTAAGGTATCCCTCCCTTGTCTTTACCTTAGAAGTTAGATTGAGGGTTAAAAATCTATTGAAACTATTCAAACTACAGTTGTTCCTTATGTCAAGCACTACCAGAAAGCGTTGGAAATCTTTTGTTATTATTTTTTATGGGGGAGGAGGGGGGTCAAACCCTATTTTGACCAAACTACTGTACGTACCAGGTGAATAAAAAAAGTTGGTACATGTAACCCAAGGGTTCTAGAGAGAAACATATGTACAAAAACAATACAGGTCTATTCGTTTTGATTTTGCCTCGCCCGTTTCGCATCGTGAACCAGCGAATCCTGGTGCACAATAACACGTTCCTTCCCGACACGTTCTTCCATTTCCACAGATCACATTGGCACATGGATCAGTGCCTGTGCCGGGATCAGTACCAGTGCCGGGATCAGTACCAGTGCCGGTATCAGTACCACCTGTAGGGATCGTCGGCACTCGCCATTAAAATGCATGCTTATTTTGTTACAAACCTCATACATATTCATGTATTTGTTAGTATTTGTTTATGCGTATGAGCAGCATGAATAGGTGAGTGAAGATAGATTCATTAAAACAAAATATAGCCATAGGTAAAACATAGTTTTTGTTATTTCCTTGTATACACACACACACACACACACACATATATATATATATATGTGTGTGTGTGTGTGTGTGTGTGCTGCTTTGAGAATGTGTGTGTTGTGGGGTGCAGGGCGGTTTTATTAAAACACTCATTACCAATAATTATAGTGATCACGATGTTATCAAGAAAAAGTAATGATGCTATAGCATGCAGTTGAAAAGATAATAACCATTTTATAGTACACCAAACTACAACAAAAAAGTAAAATCAAATATATGCTTACTTCCTTGCGGCACTGCCAGTTCGTACAGTTCCGAAAAGAATCGAAAAGAAACAAAAAGATGAATGGAAAAGCAGGCACGTAGCCAGAGTTTGATGTATTAGAGGGGCACATACATGTAATTGATCAACGTCTTGGGCAGGGGTCTAAAAAAGTTCAACCCCGTGCCCCCCCCCCCCCCCCCCCCATGGCTACGTGCCTGTGGAAAAGTACACAAGTAGTTGTTAAAATGTATACTCAACAACAGTCCAATGCCAATAAATTTGCCAGTCACATTCACCCTAGAAAATTAAAGTATCAAGAGATTCATCATTTACCTCAACTGTGCCATTGAAAAATTTGATTTCATTGTAAATGATTTCCATTAATTTGAGTATGTCTGGAAGCCCTAATATTTGTATTTTTATTAGTCAAAACATTTTGTTTGCGACAATTCGCTCTGGTGACCAGTTACCACCACTACAACTTTCAAAGTTAACTGAAATTTAAAAAAAAATCTTTTTCTAGCTCAAGTATCTTGGCAAATAGCGCTATATTTATTTCGTAATTAAAAAAAAAAAAAAGTTATCACTCACACAGGCATACACATGCACGCACACACATTAGCAACTCCACGTCGTGCTAGAAAGATCGTACAATGGATATTTCTTTATAATTTTATATAAAATGTTTGTCAATATTTCAATTAATGCATTCATCTTAAAGGAATAGTTGAGTTCTAGTTTCAGACTGCAAATGCCTGCAAAGTACATGGTTATTGCTCTTATTCTTATGTATGAAATTTCTAGTGCTCTTTTAGGACCTAAAATTGCTATAAAGGTAATTTCATACCCCCGAAATGTGTGAGATTTAGCCAATATAATCATACCAATTCAGGTCCACTTTCAAAAAATATGGTGACCGTTAATTAATCAATTAATTTATAATAACAATACACGGGCCGGCTGGTTGTGCGTATTATAACCAACATACATTGTAAAAAAAGCCAACATCAGCATTGGCTGGAATAAAACGTATTATATTAGGCGCTATCTCGTTTTTCAACGGCAATATTTGTGGGGCACCAAAAATATTAGAAATCGTCTTATTTCTCTCTGAACAGATTTTGACCAAAACAAGATGATTTTGTCATTTAAGTTGTATGTTCTTTCAAATTTGACACTCAGTTTTTCAATATGTCACAAAAAGATTATTTTGTGAAGTGCCCTCTGCAACAAAACTCAACTATCCCTTTAAATGCAAATGAAAAGATTACCAACAATGCAACAATATTGTTTTGACTCACAGAACAGTGCGAGGGCGACAGCTCCAATTATAAGCAACAAGACGATAAGAAACATGATAATGGACGTAAAGAAACAGATCATCCGTCTATAACGCAGGTACATCATCTCCTCATAAGCAGTCATGGGATAGTGCCTTCTGCGACCCATTGAATCATCACGCAATCCGCTGTTGTAAGGACGGCCAAAAGTCACGTCTGCATCGTATCTAAAGAACATTTGCGGCGATGCATGTTCATGCTTAAACTTAGGGGCCGGTCCACCTCTGTACCAGTTATACTGGTAAACATATGAAAATAGAACGAGAAAGACATTACATGACAAGGGCCGTCGAGGGACCACTTTGAAATTGAAGGAAGGGGGGGGGGGGGATATTTGCCGTCAATTTAGTTGAAAAGTTTCATATTTCACACATTTTTCTTGCAGCAAGTAAAAAGGGAGGAAAGAGGATTATCAATTTCTGATATTTGCCGACAGAAAAGTGTCATATGATGGAAAGGCGGAGGGGTGTAACATTTACATTCACCCCACCCCTCCTATATCGAAGGCCCTTTTCATGATTACCCCTATTTTTAACATGTTCCTTTTTAATGGGAGAAATTAGATCGAGTTACATCTACATATTAATGGAGGCAACATACATGTAATTGATCGACGTCCTTTGGAGGGGTCTTAAAAAGTTCAACCGATCTTGATTTTTTTTTCGGGGGGGGGGGCATGTGCCCCCTCCCCCCCCCCCGTGGCTACGGGCCTGGAGACCAGCACTAGAATACTGCTCTCCCGTGTGGCACCCTTTTTTCCCCTTCCTCACAGTTCTTTCTTTCCCTTTCTCTCCTATTTTCCTTTCCCTTCTTTATCCTTCTCTCTCTCTCTTGTTTTTTGTTTTTGTTCGTTTGTTTGTTTTTGTTTTGTTTGTTGTTTTGCAGGGGGGGGGGGCAAGGCCCGCTTGGCCCCCTGGATCCGTGCATAATAGGCATTACAATTTAAGTTGTTGACAATGTAAAGTTTATCAAATTGCGCTTCTGATGTAAAATTCACAATGTAAAATAGTATTTCAATAGAGAAGCAATAACATCAACCTGCATGTACACTTCCAAATGGGTTTGATGCACAGCCAACATAAGTCCTTTCTTTGAAAAAAAAGAATTACATTTCAAATCTGAAGTACATGTAGTGTTTATAAAAGTACACAATATACAGTGAACAGTTACTATTCTTATATGCCAAACAAAATACAAGGGACCAGCTATAGGCGTAAGACTTAGGTCTGGGTCGGTATCATACCGAAGATCTTAAGATTCAGTTCAGTTCAGTTCATTTTATTCAAAACCACACAAAGCATGATATAATCTGTTACATAAAAAAGAGACTGGTAACAGTACATCAATCAACATATTCTAGCTTGATTACATCATAAACTGAATGGTTTTAGGACCCCTTTAGAAGCTAAGCTTGTGAGCGGGCCCCTATAGTCAACAAAATACATACATTTACAGTAAAAAGAATGTTACGTATGATTATACAGTGGATGAAAATACTAAGCTACAGAATAAGATCGCCGTTTCAAACCGACTCGCGCTAGATAAGCTATCTCTCGCGGCCGTCGTCCACACTATGAGCAAACACGACGGAAGTAAACACGTCAAATTATTAACCCCCCCCCCCCCCCGGTCTAGCCCTGAGGACTAGAAAAAATCCCCTAAACGCGTAAACCATCGCGTACAGCAGGATTTTGCATCATTTGGAAAAAGTACATTTTGCCTCAAAAATGGCCCAAAATTGATGTTTTTAACCCCTTAATGCGGCACCGCACGGACAGCGTCCAATCTTAAAAAACACCTCTTTATACGCGTTTTCTTGGCAGTCTTTATATTTGAGTGAGATCCCCGGGCAGCGCTTTTTTTTACACCACTGTTTAGCCATTGTTTTTGCGAAGAAATTCTTAGAAATACTGTGGTGAAAGAATGGGCAAGCACGTACACTCAGGAAGGGAAGATAATATAAAAGGGAAAACAAAGAAATACGTAAAGAGAGTGGAGAGGATATGGAGAAGGAAAAACAAAGAAATACATGACGAAAGAGAAGAGGATAGATTGAAGGAGAACGAAGACATAATGACAGAGAAGAGGATAGATTGAAGGAAAAACCCGGGAAAAAACAAAGAAATACATGACAAAAGAGAAGAGGATATAGATTGAGGAAAAACAAATTAGAACATGATGAAAGAGAAGAGGATAGACTGAAGGAGAACGAAGACATAACGACAGAGAAGAGGATAGACTGAAGGAGAACGAAGACATAACGACAGAGAAGAGGATAGACTAAAGTAAACACCCGGGAAAAACAAAGAAATACATGACGAAAGAGAAGAGGATATAGATTGAGGAAGAACAAATAAAGACAAGTATGAAAAAGAAGAGGATAGATTGAAAGAGAAACAAAGACATAACGAAAGAGAAGAGAATAGATTGAAGGAAAAACAAAGAAATACATGATGAAGAGGATACAATCAGGGGCGGCGATTTCTTTTCATGACCGGAGGACGAAATGCGAGGGACGAGGAAACATATTAGCAAGAGGGGCCAGTGGCGTAATGAGCAAAAACGTTGGGGAGGAGGGGGGGGGGAGATGTGGGGGGCTAAAGTATTTCCGATCAGGGAGTGCAAAGCGAGCGAAGCAAGTGGAGCGTAAATTGGCGTGGGGTCCAGGGGCAAAGCACCGGCGGGAATCAGGGGGCGGAGCCCCATGACGCTCTTGGGTTTTAAGCATTTAGGGGCCGTCTTAGGGCCTTTGGTTGGGTCCGGGGGTGGGCGGTAGAGCCCCCGGGAGCTGATTGAAAAAAAAATGCATTTTAGCAACAGTTGTAAACCACTGGTATCAAATTAGAAATAAACCATGTTTAAATTTTATGGGGGGGGGGGGATTACTGCCACCACATCAGTACGCCAGTGAAAGGGGTGGAGGTGACGGAAGTGACTACCTCCCATGAAGCTATGTGATAAGTTCTGATTATAGAGCTACACGCTACCCCCTCACAGGTTTTTGAAGTTTTGTTGTATTATAAAATTACATTCTTTAGCAAAACTACAGCATAAAAACAAGCAATATACTGTTTTTACACTTTACTTTTACTTTGCCGGTATTTAGTGTGCAGTCAGTAGGCAGGAAGGGACTTCTTAAAAGAGCAAGCTGAATATT